GAGCTTGTAACACTCCAAAGAGAAAGGAAAAATTGAAATCGCATCATATGACCCCTTTAAATAAAAAAAGCAGGGGCGTTTCTAGTCATTCATCGCGGTACTGAGGCGCAAATGTACACTGCTGAGCTGCTTTATTGGGACAAATGATAGACATTGGTTTTGTTTAAAGGGTCATGAAACCCCCCGTTTCAGCACTGGTTATTTCTCACCACAGTTTTAAAAAATGCTAAAAAACATGAATAATTTAATAGACACCGACGCGTCATCAATGTACTATTAGTCCATTGCCACATCACAAATTGTGACGTCAACACAATGTAGATTTTAAACCCGGAAGATGAAAATAGCGCAAAAAAGCTTAAAATTAACCAGTTTTCTCCAACAGTTAAAATTATCGGATGCTAACATTGTCTTCTATGATGTGCAACACAAACACCTCTCCTAAAATCTCAGAACAAGTAGTCTGGGGTTTCATGACCCTTTAAGAGCCACCTCATTAGTGCTCTATTTGTTTTCGGTCTTATAAAAAACTACTGCAAACGAGCTAGTGAACTGTCCCAATAAATCAAAGTGAATCGCGAACACTGTCAGATCTTTGTGCAAATCCGTTTGACAGATTAGATCAAGAGAGTGACTCGATCACGAATCTGCCATCGCTAGTTCTTATTCCAAACCGCTGATGGAAAACACCCTGAACATTACTGCTGAAATACTATCAGAGAAAATGATTCTCAGGTAAGTATACAGTAACATTCATTACCCGAGGAACAAACCAAGATGGCTGCAGAAGATTTTTAATATGGAGTCTGCTTTTATGTTGCATCTTTTTATAACAAGTGCTCTGGTTGAGAAGACAAGTAGAAGCATTGCAAGTATGTAAAAGTGCCAAAAGCAATTGAACTGTAAATTCCTTTAAATGCCAGCAACAGTACATTTCTTGCCTCCAGCACAGCTATAGGCCTATTTCACATGTCAAAGAAGTTGCAATGCATCAATCTTTTCCTGTCTATGCTGAGCAGCATTTTTATAAAACTGGGAATTAAAAAGTGCTTTAGAACTTTACCATTTAACACAGGCTCAGGTCAGACAATGTCATGTTAAACTTCACACAAAAGACATTTTAAAGGAGAATGTAACAGAACATTTTACTTCTGTAGACTTTATTCTTTCTAGGGCATTGCACTGTTCTCCATAACTGCTTGACTCGTGCATCAGGATCAGGTACATCAAACTATAATATGAGATGTGCATTTGTAACTGGGTGTAAAATCGCTAGAAAGGTCAGTACTTGTTTTATAAGGTAAACAATATGCTGTTCAAGGTTGCTGGGTTGTGATATTATCACTATTGTAACCATTTGTAGCTCAGCCAAGGAAATGCAATGACATGCAGAACATGTGAATTGTAAGCCAGTGTCACTGGAAAAATATGCTTTTGTTCATCGTGAGCAGAATGCGTGTTGGTAAGGGGCTCATACTTAATCAAGCCTGACTACATTTTTTTGCCCTTAACTAATTTGACGTCAATTATTTGATTGCAAAACAGATCCAGAGGCATCATGGAAAATTCCTGTGAACCTTCGGCAGTCCATAAATGCAACAGACTGACAAAATACAGCATTCAAAAGTTTTAGTACTTTTTTTTTTTTTTTAATGTGTTAGTAATAAGTCTCTTATGCTCAACAAAATACAGTAAAAGCAATAATATTGCGAAATATTCTTACAATTTTAAACAACTTTTTTCTATTTGAATATATTTTAAAATGGAATTTAGTCCTGTGATGGCCAGGCTGAATTTTTGTACTATTATTTCATTTGTTTTCATGTTTATCTGTATGAGGGCTTGTATTTCCCGGTATCACACCACATTTTAGTTTCCATCATCAAACACACGTCATTTTACTCGTGATCTCTGTTTCACGACAATAGATTCCGATGGACATCCGTTCATCTAGTTCATCTACTTACTGCTGTGATCTGGGTCAAACTAGTTCATTGCTTGTGTCATAAAAATTCCCAAGGTGTGGTTCATTTGCTTGCATGAGTCAGCACATTTTTAATGAGTTGAAAAGAGATTTGGGATTTTACTTCCAAATCTCTCCTTCAGGAAGACCTTTTACTGCCCTCTCTGGAGAAGCAAAGCACTAGAGGTAAATCATGAAGCTTTTCATGCAGTCATACACCGCCTACATCCATCATATTGTTTGTATGGTGGATTTCTTTACTACAATAATTCATATTCTTAACTGAATAATATATTAATTAGTAATAAATATTTATATTACCAACTCTGAAGATCAATTTAAAAACTATTTTATTGTCTCTGAACCTCCACGTCAACCCTGTTAAAAAGGGACAAACATCTGTCCAAACACAGAAAAGTTCACACAGCTCTTAATAATATATAGTTATATATTTATTCATACTGCCATATCCATTTATACTGGTTAATTATAAAAAAAAACAGTCTTTGTGAAGATTTCAATCCCCAAGGACCAGAGTTCATGTCCACGTCGCCCTGATCACTCATTTTACCGTCTCAGACTGTGACCCCCAGATTGTACATTTGTCTGTGTGTCTTAAAATCAGACTCCACAACTTCTACACACTCAATGAAAACAAGTGCACAGGTAACTATGTCGATTGAGAGGGTGCCCTCAAAGTGTATGTGTATGTATGAGAATGTCAGAGAGATGGAAAGAAAAAGAGACGGAACTTATTAGGCGTCAACGTTGAGGTAAAATCCAATAAAACAGCCAAAAGCAGGAACAAGGGACAGACATTTTTTGAACATAACATGAGCAAACTGCATTGATGATTACTATTTAGGGTATTGTTGACTATAAAGAAATGATGTCAATGTTTTGAGGCCTTGTGAACTAGTTTCTATTAAAGCAGCACTATGTAACTCTTTCTGTGTTCAAAATTTGGGCTCATACTTAATCAAGCCTGACTACATTTTTTTGCCCTTAACTAATTTGACGTCAATTATTTGATTGCAAAACAGATCCAGAGGCATCATGGAAAATTCCTGTGAACCTTCGGCAGTCCATAAATGCAACAGACTGACAAAATACAGCATTCAAAAGTTTTAGTACTTTTTTTTTTTTTTTAATG